TACTGGGCCATTCCGAGGAGAGATTTGACTTCACTTGAACTCCGCGGAGGTGTGGCATTCTGGATAGCTTCAACCTTCTTGTGGTCGGGGCGTAGTCCTTCCGCGCTGAAAATGTGACCATAGAACATTGCTTCCGATTTCGAAAAGTGGCACTTCTCTTTGTTTAAGCGAAGGTTGTGGGACTTTAGCCTTTCAAGGACTTGACGGAGGTTGGCATCATGAGTGGCTTGATCTTTGCCAAAAACGATTATATCATCGGATATGTTCTTACAGCCTGGTAGGCCAGTCAGCAGCTCTTCAATGGTGTTTTGGAAGATCTCAGAGGCGGCATTGATGCCGAACAGAAGTCGTTTGTACCTTCGAAGGCCGAGGTGTGTGCTGAACGTGGTGATGTGCCGGCTTTCTTCTGCAAGTTCAAGTTGATGGTAGCCAGAGGATAGATCTAAAGTTGTAAACACGGCTGCACCATTTAAATCAGCTACCAGGTCATCGATTGTGGGCATCAAATGTTTTTCTCGTTTGACCGCTTGGTTGGCCTCACGCATATCAATAGATATTCGGACTTCGCCAGACTTTTTCGGGACGACCACAATGGGACTGATCCATGGTGTTGGTCCATCAACCTTTTCGATGATATCTAACTCTTCAAGCCGTTTGAGCTCTTTCTCGACATCAGATCGAACGTGGAATGGGATTCGACGGTGGGGTTGTTGTTTGGGGGAAACATCAGGATCAATGTGCAGTTTACCAGTTTTACCAGTTAGCTTTCCAATGCCAGAGAAGAGGCATTCGAACTCTGGGGGATACTGATTAGTTGATGGTATGTGATTGGTAGTGCTGTTGATCGTAACTTTGAGCAAGTTGAGTTGGCAGGCGGTGGTGTAGCTTAGCAGATTTCCAGAGTTCCCGTGAACTACATGGAATTGGGCAGAAAGGTGCTTAGAATCAGTGGAAATGTTGGTTTTGATAACTCCTTTTAGTGGTAGTGGACGTAGTGATCCATAGGAATAAATTTTGTGGTTTGTTTGTTCAAGGCTGATTCCTTTGTTGCGGGTAATTTTGTTAAAGGTGGCGTCATCGAGGATATTGACAGAAGCGCCAGAGTCTATCATGACGGATACGCTGTGCCCTGCAATGTTTACGTGGCACTTTGGTGATGTGGGTGTTCCAGAGAGATTTGCGATTGTGAAAGCATAGTCTGGTTCGGAGTCGGAATCGGTTGGAGACTGGGGGTGGGTATGGGTGACATTCTTTACATGCTGTGATGATGGGGGTTTGGTGCGGCAAACCCGGGCAAAATGTCCGATTTTCCCACAAGATTTGCAGTCCTTGCCTCTTGCTGGGCAAACTCTGATATGCGGGGATGTCCCACCGCAGTTTCCACAGGTTTCTCTGGCACGAGATTGCTCAGCGCCTCTGAAATTACGTAATCGTTGGTTCTCAAAACGCGATCTTGGGGGGCTGTGGCTTCCGTATTTGGCTGTTGTATATTTCCGTGACGAACTGAATTTACGCTTGAGAATTCTTGTTGCTCGACTTGGCTGGCTTGTTTTTCGCTTAGTGCGATGGCTCTGCCGGTCTTCATCAGGTTCGGTAGATCAAGATTGTCACGAAGGGCTCGTCGGCGTAAAGAGTTGGACGTACAGGTCAAAATAATATGGTCTTTGATCTCTTAAGCGGGGTCGCTAAATTCGCACGTTTGAGAAAGATGGCGTAATCGAGTATGATAAGAATCAAGAGACTCGTCGGGTTTCTGTTTCGCTTGGCGGAAGTTAAAAACTTAGAAAGCCACATTAGTTTGAGATGAGAAGTACTGGTTGAGCTTTTCCACTACGGTTTTGTAGTCTTCGTTGCTGCTAGTCGGCAGAGTATCGTAGATATCATCGACATCAGGGCCAGCGTAGTGCAAGAGCAAAGCTGTTTTTCTTTTATCAGCTGTGATGTTAAGTCCGCAAAGTAGCCGTTCGAATCTCGTGAGCCACTTTTTCCATCTTCGGCCAGCATTAGAGTCCTCGTGTACATTAAACGGTGGAAAATCTGGGAGCGAAGCCATGGTTGAGGTGAGTTATAAATACTAGAATTCTGCGATATATATTACTTGTTTTGTCTGATCACGGTACGTTGTCTATACTCTTGACAGTGTGTTGTTTTGGGTATACTTCGGCTGGTTCACTTCTTGTATGCTTGTGTGATCGTTGCGGGTTTCGATCGTGTTTCCTCGTCGCCAGATGTAATGTTGTAGTAAAACACTTTTATTGATAACCTCTCGTATATATGCACATGCAAAACTAACTAATAAAACTATATCTATTGGCGCCAAAAAGTCTTAGTCTCAGACCCCGCACGCGGTCCACCTGCGCGCCAAGGCAACAAAACAACAATGAGCTTATTAACTATATTATAACATAGTCTTGTATAACGTTATATAGTGTTGTATAGTGTCGTATAGTCTTGTATATTATTGTGTAGTGTCGTAAGTGTTGTATACTCTTGTATAGTGTCGTATACTCTTGTATAAAGCTGTATAGTGTCATATTAGTCTTGTATAGCCTTACATACAGTAGTGTTGTATAGTCTTGTATAACATTGGATCGTGTTGTACTGTATAGCCTTGTATAGTGTCATAAGATCATTAATAAGTTCACCTGCTTGCAAGATATGTAGCTTTTGACAGTTCTTTGTAGAAAAAAACATTATACAGACAGACAGGATATATAATAGTGTCATGCGCTTCCATTATTAATAGTGTTATGGTATATACAGGGTGTATAAAAAAAACGCAACTTCGGAATTTGCTAAGAAATCACTTTGCAATTCTTAAGCATAAAAGATTTTAGGCCCCTGGAAATTGTGTGCAGTAATTTTGACAGTTGTGCTATTTTAAATTCCCAGGTGCCTAAAATATTTTGTCTTTAAAACAATGTCGATTTCTTGGGAAATTCGAAGGTTAATGGCACCCTAGGGTGTCCCAAAAAAACGAAAACTATTGAAATAAATGTATTGCTGAAGCACTCTGCTGAACCCACACGTGCATCAAAGCTTGACGTAAGTAAATTTTATGCATAAAAAAACCCGTTTAAGAAGCTGTTTTAAATTCCCAAGAGCAGAAAATCGTGTGCTTTACAAAGATATTTTAATTTCTTAATAAGTCAATATTTAATATATGCACCCTTGTCAATACTTTACGCATCTTTGGCACTTTGCGTTCGGCTTAGTGCTATAGGGCATTCATGGTTTTTCGGTTTTTTGAAGACACCCTTGTATAATAGTGTTGTTATGGTATAAATAATAATGTTATATTCGCATTGTTAATAGTATAAACAGTCCTTGGGTCTTGTGCATTATATTATCCATTATTAATAGTGGTATTAACTGCGAGTCATTCCAGGTTATTATTCTAGAGGTGACCACGCTTGACTTTGTATCTAAGAATATTAGTGACATTAACCTTAGTGACAATCGCATAATAGCTAAATTTGTGGAAGTAGCCCTGCGGGTCACATTATACATATATTGTCGGAGAAATAAGCCGTGGAATGACCCATAATTTGTTAATTTTTATTAGCTACTATCGTTTGGAGTGCTCAGAAAATGACCTGTTTCATTACAGAGAACTGTTTTCTTAATTTTAGATAATTAGAATATTGTTGTAACATATATGCACTTGATTCTTACAATACAATAAAATACGATTTTTATTGTTTAAAAACTATAATAGTATTATGTTTCCATTATAGTGTTGTTTAATTTTGAATTATCCACGGATTATAAACAGATTTTGAACAACCTAACCCAATGTTTTGGCCGCGAGGCAGCATTTCCTTGCGTTAGTAACTTCTAGTTTAAAGATCTTATAAAGTGAAGCCACATTTAGTCATACTACCCTATCATAGTTGCCATGATCAACTTTGGGAAAAAAAAACATCCGTGAGATTTTGCTTTGGGAAGCCACGAGGCGCCAGATGGTCGGCACCGAGCGGAAGTTTTGAAAATATGGAGTCTCTAGATCGTTGGAAATGGGATTTTCAGAGGCTTCTATACCTTATATATATATACACACACAAGTTTTAGTAGCTTTTATTTACATATACAAAACCATATTGTTGAATCATGAGTGCGAGGTTGCATGAAGTGATGTTTCCGTTATCTATTTTTGGCTTAATGGCGTGAATCTTTTTTAGAAGAAGAACGTTTTATGTAGGCCTAATTTGACGCAAATGAAGTCACTCTTAATAGTTAAAATGTGCAACAAAGCCAACATATTTAAGAACGATTTGGATTATTTTCGAAATCCGTGAGATATTAACAAGCTGTGAGCTCACCGTGAGGTTTTAGTACAATCCGTGATGCTCATAGTAGATCAATAAGAGTTGGCAACTATGCTCTATATATATGTGTCGTAATTTATATATTCTTTACCATTTACTGAGTCGACGGCTGTTCCAATGTATATGTTTATATTGAAATCAGTTTAATAAATGGCGTTGTGTTGAAGTTACTACAGTTCTACTGCCCTCTATTTTTTATCTGTAGGTTTTATGGTACGACGGGGTCATGCGGGGTAGGCGTTTATATTGCACAGAACCCCTGAACCCATGCACAAAAATATTTGACCCCCCTCTTTTTCCACCAGCCTCCCCCCTGTAATTAATGACTGGTCCCTAATGTGCTAGACCACATGCTCAAAATAATTGGTCTTGGTGTGGCCAAAACTGAGATATGCATGTGATACGTAAAATTTCTTGCGCGAAAACTGTTGATCAAGTTCATTTAATTCAGAAAATGAACATCATAGTCTGGCGAGAGTACATATTACTTGAAAAATCTACGTACATTAGCTTCGATCGTTCAAAATTATTTTTTAAAAAAATAAAAATTGAAATTAACAACAAAAATCTCTGTCTGATAACTCTGAACTGTCAGAGAATTCAATACCACAATATATACGTTCGTGCCCTTTGATTGTATAATCCCAAAAAGGCCAACAAATCATAGATAATAAACCTCTCGTATGATGTACAGTACATATGTTATATATTATAGCTTTATCACTTAATTGAGCCATGAGTGTACTTGATATAGTTCTGCATCCTTGTGAATTTTAGCTGACATGTGATATCCCAAAACCATGTGATATCCCAAATGCCGTTTTTCAGTCATTTGGTATTACGAACGGGAAATTGATAATCAGATGATCAAACTGACGCAAAATGTTAGATTGTAATGCAAAATGACTGAAAGAGCATCACAAAATTAGTAATATTCCGCAATTTTGTTGAATGTTGTAAAATGCGGTTATGCGGATAATATAGCCTTGCGAAGTTTGCCGTTTTTTAGTCATTTTGCATTACAAACGGGAAATTGATAATCAGATGATCAAACTGATTATCAATTTCCCATTTGTAATACAATGACTGAAAAACGGCAAACTTCGCAATGCTATATTATCCGCATTTTACAACATTTCGCAACGAAACTTCGGAATATTACTAATTTTGTGATGCTCTTTCAAGCTGTGATGAAATTGTTGCCCAGGCATATTTAAATCAAAATTTCACTCATAAGGGGAAAGGTCTATTAGGACCTGAAATTAGGTGAGAGATTTGTGGGACATGTTGAAAGGAGAAGAGAATTTAAGAGCCAGAAATTGATAATGACTGTTAACAGTCTTCTTCAGCAGGGTTTTTTGTATGAAGAGATTGCAGGAGGGAAAGGAAGGTGAATTTCAGAGTTTGGATAATAACGTAGAACCAATAGAATAACATATATTACGAAATTATGGAAAATATGAAACAAAAAATAATACAAAAAATACAAAAAAAATGAATGAAAGGGTGAAGGGATACTGAAAACTGATTTAACTACTAAATATTATATTAGCCAATTTGTCTGTTATCCTACCGAAGGCCAAGACCATGCACGTACTTTATATTTTTATTGTTCATACCTTATTGTTTATTCCAACACCACGACGTACTTAATTCTATTATATTTTCCATAAGTTTTGTAATAATATGTTATTTTCTTGGTTCTACATTACTACCATAATGCCGAAACTCTACTTCCTTTCCCTTCTGTAAGTTCTACCAACACTTCCCCCTTAAAACCCTGCTGAAGAAGACTGTAATGTCGAAACGCGTAAACGGTTGCCTGGTTCTCTCGCTTTTAAATCCTCTTCTTTTGTTGTGACTCAAAGATATTTCACATAATTTTCCCCGAGCCGACG